ATTAGTATTATATTAGAGCTAAGGATCTATAATAGGTATTAGTATAGGTTAGTATAAGCGCTATTCTTATACTTAACTAACGACTACGGAATTCTTAGTATACTCTACGCCTAGACCTAGTAAAGGGGAGGCGATTAGGTTAATACTCCGTGTTTCTATCAGGACTCTAGTTCTACGGAGGACGCTAGTATATAGGATAGTATAGGCGTTATCCTATACTCTTTAGCGATCGTTAAGAACGGTTAGCGTCGGTATAGGTTAGTAAGATCGCTTACGCCGACTAGTAATTATTAGGAAGGTTATCGCGGTATCGAAGCTCGGGTTCTACGGCTAGTATAGGTTAGTATAGGCGCTAATCCTACGCTTAACGGTGGTTCCCTTTACTACTCTACGCCTAAATCTATTAAAGGGGAGGCGTCTTCGCCTAGCACGAGCGGTCGTGTTTATTTAGTCTTAGTATACATAGTTCGCGCCTTTAAGGGCGGCTACGCCTAGCACGCTAGCATTCGCTAGGGAACTCCGTACCTATTTAGTCTTGGTATATATAGTCCGCGCTGGGTAGCGGTACACAAGCCTTACCTAAAAGCTTAGTTACTACTATTTAATATACTCTAACCAGGTATATATCTAGCCAGCCAGTACTATCAGACCTAGATATTCTAGGGTTTAGAAAGGGGTAACCTTTACTATAAATCATAAGGTATAATAAAGATATCTTAGTGTAACTAAGGGGGCGCGCCCCCTAGACTTAAGTATTCCACGGCTAAACCCCGTAGAATCCTCGGCTCCTACGTATAGGAACCTAGGGGATTCCCTGGTATTCACTAATTATACCCTAGGGAAGCTATAGTATACCCTATAAGTACCTATAGCGTACCCTATAGGTGCTATGGCTTATACTATAGTACCGCTAGAGTACCCCGTGGTACGCCCTGGTATTCCCGGCCGAATCTAGGGCGTATTATCTTCCTTCCGGGTTACTAGTATTATAGGTAAGGCTTTTCCTAGAACCTTTACTTTAGCTCCTTAAAGGCTGCCTTTTATAGGGGGCCTTAGTAGAATAGGGTATTCTTCTTTATTAGGGCTATAAGTAGCGCTATAATAGCTACGAAATCGCGGATAAATATCCTATAAAAGTTAGTAAACCCTAGAAAACTTTATACTCTGATCACGGAGACTAACGCCTTTTATTCTATAATAGTCTTAAGTTTCTTAGGGTTATATAAAATACCCCTTTTCCCACTATAACGATAAACCCTAGGTATTTAACCATCTTAATACTAAACTTATACTTCTTCGGGTTAAGGTTTAGCCTAACCGTTTATAAGGGTATTAAGTACTCGCCGTACCTTTTCCTTATAGTCTTTATAAGATATGTCTAAGTAAATCAGGATATTATCTATATATATAAAGATAAAATTATTAAGGAACTCCCGTAGTAATAGGTTAATATATTACTAGAACGTTATAGGCGCGCCGGTTAACCTAAAGGGGTATACTAACTACTTAAATAGTTTAAACCGAGTACGGAATACGGTCTTATACTTATACCTCGGCGCTCTCTATATCTTATAGAAGGCGGCGATAATATCTAACTTAGTAAACCACTTCGCCTTAGCTAGGTTATATAGTATCTTTATAATTAGGGGGAGTAGGTAATAATCTCGCTAAGTAAATATATTTAGGGCGCGGTAATCGTAATAAAATCAGAGGCGCCCCCTAGCTTCGTTACGAATAGTATAGGTGCGGCGGTAACTAAGCTACTTATATAAATACATTCCTTATCTATGAGATCCGTTATTATTTTCCCTAATATAAGGAGCTCTTCGCGCGATATATTATAAAGCGGGCTTTACGGTAAGGCTTATTCGTTACTATTACTATCCTTCTATAAGTAAACCTTATAATTAGCGCTAGCTTAGTATCAGGGTAGGCGTATAGAGTATCAGGGCGCGAATAAGTCGCTGAACTCTTATATTATACTCTCGGGGATATATTCTTATAGGTCTACTAGTTCCTTCGCACTTAGGGTCTTTTCGATATCTTTTAATAATATAGCCCGTAAGCCCTTTTCCTATCGTTTTCCCTTCTAGTACTATAATTATCTATATAATCCTATAAACACTAACCCTATTATTAGTTCTATAGTACGGATCTCTTATACTACCTTTAGCTTTTCTTTATCCTGAAATCGGATATCGATATTAGCTACTCCGTAATAAAGCCTTTATTCCTTAGCGTAAAGGACTATAGCGTTATAGTTTATCTATAAAAGCCTAAGAAAAAGATCCTAGTCTAGACCTAGCACTATATACGCGAAACCACGCTTAGTATACCCTTATATATCTTATATAGAGACTATGATACTAGTATTACTAGCCGGTTTAGTCTTATCCGAGAAGCCTTTTAGTAGTTATTTCTTCTTATCGATTAATAATAAGCGTATTTTTTAAGTAAACTTATTTATAGCGGTATAGTAGTTATAACCCGTATTTATAAAAGCGTTTATTAACCTATTACTATTAACTCTTACTTAGATTAATACTAACTCGCTCCGTAATAGCGGTTTAAACTCCTTTTACTTATATTACTCTTACGCTAATGGCTCCGGTACCCGATTTCGTACTAGAGGTACTCTTTTTCCGAATCTTTAGTATCCTCCGGAATATTTTCGGATTCCTCCTATTAAGGGGATATTCGGGCTATTATATCCTTCTTACTCTTATAATACTATTAGATATAGCCCTTTTTCTAGTAATTCTAATATATAATATTCGCGTAGCGGTTAGGCTTTTATTAAGACCCCTTAGACTCGCTAACCTTATTAACTTTACTTATAGCGATATTATTATTAGCGTCCTTAGCTAGTTTATAGGGGACGGGAATTAGTTAGTACGATTTACTAATACCCTTTTATCTTTACGCGATCTTTTATACTTTATTAACCTACTCGGTATAGGTATTAAGGAGGTTAGCTACTACTAGGCTATTATATAGTCTATTATTTAGGGCGCCGTTTTAAGGGACGATACCTTAATATAATCTCCCTAATTATAGCCTTTTACTTATACTAGGTTCCTTTTAAAAGTAAGTAAGAAGCGCGAGAATAGTTAGTCGGGTTTTTACTTTACTGATTAGAGGGTATTAGTAGTATAGCCTTATTCGTTACGGTCCTTATATATATAATTAAGGTAGGCTATAAATTCCTTTAGGTTAAATATACTATTTATACCTCCGTTACCGAAAAGGGTACTAACCACCTACTAAGGCTAGGTATCTAAGTATATATTAATTCAATACTACGCCTTTTTATTACTATAAAATAGCGGACCGTTAAGTTTAAGCTTTAGTCGTATAGTTTAGGATTAAGCGGTATATTCTATGCGTTTTCCACTAAATTTTACGGGAATAGCGACTTACTATACACGGTATAAGAGTATAGGTATTAATGGCGGGACGGGTATAGTAGTCTCTGGCTTTAGGGGTCTAGGTAAGGGTAAGGGCGTAATAATTAGTATAGGTGCTAGGTACTTAATAGGTATAAGGTACAGGTTAAGTTAAGACCTTTCGAGGGCTATTTATATACTAATAAGTATATTATAAATAAGGGCGATATATATCCTTACCGCTTCCTATACGTGTTATAACACGCGTTTATCGATTTTATTATATAAGGTCCTTATAACCTACCCTTAGCCCCTTAGTAGGCTTAAGGTGAAGTAACTAGGACCTCCTTCTATATAAGCATCGAAGCTTATAGTCTTATAAGTTCGAATATATAACGGCTTATTAGAAGTTATTCACGTATTAAGGCCGAAAATATAGTTTATTCGAACTAAGAAAGCAAAGGAGAAAAGGAAAAGTCTACGCGGTATCTAGGCGGCTAAGTATATATAGGATCGCACGGGCCTTACTAGGAGGTCCATGCTTCTTAGTTCCGGTTACTACCAGGGACTATTCCACGGGCTATAGCCCGTCACACTTTGCTATTTATAGGTTAAAAGAAAGCTATGATTTCTTTAAGGCTATTCTAAGGTGCTTATTTAAATATAAAGGAATCTAAGAGATATTTAAGCTATAGTTAAATAGCTATAAATAGGGGGTATATTAAGATTATAGGGCTAGCCACGCTTAGCTTATAGTGTTTAACCTTATACTTACCTTAGTCTTTATATATCTTTAGTTTATTTTCTTATAAGGCTTAGTAGAGTAAGCTGAATAGAGGGATCTAATTAGTTAAAGGAAGTCTATATATAGGGAGCTTTCTAGGACTATATTGCAGGCTTTTATAGGAGGCCTGTAAGGCAATCTAATCCTCCCTTTCTCCACTCTTCTCTATAGCTCTGGCTAGCTATTCGCCCTCTATTCGTGACAATTCTTTATGAATATTATTTAAGGTACCTTAGGTATTTCAGCCTCGTTTTTGCGAACGACCTTCCCTACCTACTGAGGAAATTCTATCATGACCTTCTAAATTGCCATATCAACGTCTCGGAATTAAGGGCCTGCCAACGCCCAAGTCTGGAGAAGTGCTATTTATCTTAGGGCACTCCATCAATTCGCGCCGTAACTCCAATGAATTGATCCCTTATCATACCGACAGCACGGAGTCAACGAGGACGCTGTTCTTCCTTATTATCCACGGCCCTTCTTTAGCGTTGAGGACCGTCTCATCTGACAGCTTCTGCGATCCTCGGAGATTTCTCCCAGAAACATAAGATCTTTTCCTTTCAGCATACTCTCAATGATTTCCACCCTTCGCTCATGCAAGGTCATATTTTCTCTTCCATTACCTTTGCTACCCTCCCAGAACCGCCCCACTCGGTTGTCAAACTGCCATGTCAGACTCACAAGACTTCCACCTGGTAACCATACCCCGTAGCGATGGTCAGGACACCGGCCCGGGATACTGGCCAGCACCTGTAGATGCTACCACAGGCACTAAGTCGAAGAAAGCGATCAAGGATGTTCCAGAGAGAACGCCTAGGGCAAAACCACAGATGCTGCGGCTTGCGGAAGATGACCCTCGATTCATCGAATGGCGTGTCAAGCTGGGCATCTTGCTGAAGCAAGAGTTGTCCCCGAACCCGCAAGGTAAGCCCTTGATCCCTCCGGTCCCTTGACAACGACTCCCGCCCCCCCTTCTTCGTTGCAGGAAGACATCTCGTCCCGTCTGACATACATCCCAGATGGCCTTCCATGGTACGTACAGTTCCCACGGGGGTATTGGCTGTACGAGAGATCCAAACATCTTTGGGTTTCGGGTTATCCTGTCAAATCGAAACTTTTCAAGAGCCCGCAGGAGTTTGGTGTCCATTTGCTGTGGCTAATCTCGGGCTCCAACGATCCTCGTGACTGTTGCTGTGTCCACTGCAACCTTCCAAAGTCTGGTGCTTCGGGGGAGGAGTTGATCGTTCAAGATGGCCCTCGACTAGCTGCTCCCGCAGCGCCTGTTTCGGCTTCTGCCCCCGCTGCTCCCGCTTCATCTGCTCCAGCTCCAGCTCCAGCTGCTCCTCCAGCGGCTCCTCCAGCTCGTCCCCTCACTGCCACTACTGTTACAGCGCCTGTCGCGGGAGCATCTCCGGCTACGCCCACGCCACCAGCCAATATATTCAAAGCTCCAGCACCACCATCAAAAAATGCGAACGCGACAGCCCAGAGTGCGAAGCCCTCTCCTGTATCGACTCCAGCACCTTCTGCCTCCGCAATGCCACCAACAGCACCGTATCCTAGGAAGGCAGAGCCTCCAGTGCAGGCGAGCACTGCGTCCCCGGCACCGAGGCCAATGATTCCAGAACCCCCACCGCGCCCAACGCCCCTAGAACAGACTCTGGTTCCTTTTAATCAGAGCACGTCGCCCCTGTTCTTCCGCACTGGCGAATTAGTCTGGTTTTCCGTCGCCCCTAGTTGGCGCATCGGCCTAATAGCCAGGTCGAATCTCGCGGCCAAGCAATACGAGATTCTCCCTATCTCCCACGGCCTCTTCAACCAATCCCAACTGCAACTTAAGCCCGAAACAGCCCTACGCCCCTTCCTCGCCTTCACGGTTCCTCCGGTGTCTCTCCCTGATCTTTCCGACAAGTCTTTCGACAAAATACCGTGGGATACCCTTATCGGTGCCGTGGCCGCAGAGCCCACCAAGCGCGAGCCTCTTCTTCTTGACGCCTCAAAATTAGCCGCCATAAAGATCTCCATGTCCTTCTCGTTGTTCACCCGCATAGGCGACTCGGAAGGTGGACGCAAAACCAACTACCACGGCATCTTCCTGGGCGCCGAGCGCATTGAGGTTGGCGATGCCCTCCGTGTTCGCGTCCCTCACGAACAGCAAAATTTGATGCCCCGCTGGGCGCTCTCCCAAGCCCAGGCGTCTGGCGCCTTCCTTGGTCTGCGCGAGATTTGCACCGCGCGTGACACGCCTGGCTACGTATTCTTCAAGGGCGACCTCTACATCCCTATCACGGGCGAGCACAACCCAGGGGGGGTAGAGAACGACCCCAACAGCGGTGGAGACCCTGTCATCGCGCCGGATGAGAAGCTTCCGCGGGCCCTTCGCGAAGAAGCCGCGTTCCGAACCAAGTTTGCGCCCCGAGAACGCTGGCGCCTGGCCCTTCTCAGGCAAAACACCGTCCTCCGAGAGCAAGACATCCAGGGCCGATTCTACCCATCCGCCCGCCTGCTTCCGGTGCTCGTGCACCCCAACGCGAACCAGCTCCAGGCAGAGCTGCAAAAGGGCGTCGTGCGCGACTCGGCACGCCAGTTGAACCAACGCTTCGACACTTTCAAGGACGGGTATATCGGGCAGAAAGCTGGGCGGGTTGATGCTGTCGGTGCCGCCATTCCGCACGGCAGCGCAGCTCTCTTTGGGTTCGAGCCCGTCGTCAGAGAGGAGGCGCCGCCGTTGCCTCCCTCGGCGGGCGCTGAACCGGCCGGTATGATTACGGGGTAGACGCATTTGCGAATATTCTACCGGAAATTTGATAGTGGATGCATAGGATGGTGGGAGTAAACTCGACTGGATAGAGTCTCTCGGGGTCAGCGTATTCGCAAATGGTTTGCTCGAGATGGCTCGGCTGTATAATTTCACGAAGCAAGAAGCGGATGCAGGAGTTGCCATTCAGGTGACATATTTAATGCTCCATTTTAGATTTTGCCTCAATCACTCGTCCACTCGCTTCACCGACGTACGGGTACGGCCCTCATGTCTTCTTTATTGATCAAACTGAGTACCTTAGTAAACGTCCGGGGCCTTGAACGTGGTTGAAGAGAGTGGACATCTAAAATTGGCCAGACACGAGTGACAGGATGCACGGTGCATCAAACCGAGGCCCCGGTACCGAAGAGCACGATAGTCACAGTCGTGTCACAGTTGAGGTAGAGAGCGTGTGTTTGCGCTGGAAAGCATGGTAATGTTCGTGATGTCCCGGCACGGAGCGAGGCATGAAGGGAAGCGAGCTCAAGATACGCAGACAAGACATTTCCAAAATACATAAGATGGCCAGATCTAAAGGATGAAGGTCTTTTGGTCTCATGCGGTGAAAAACAATGTCCGAAGTTGAGTTCCAAGATAATCTGATGATGGCGTTGGGATCTCGTGGTTGAAGGAGAGAATAGAAGGGGTAAAAAGAGGGAAAAAAAAAAACAGAGTGCAAACTGGCTCTCATTCAGGAATCCTCATTTCGACAACAAACAATAAATCAAGTCTCCGTTTTGGTCTTTTGTCTTTCAACTGATCATCTAAAACAAAACAAAGATATAAGAATGCATAAAGCGCGAACGCGGTCATCCGGTGGGCTCGCCAAGTTTTAAAGACTCAATTTTGGCCTGTACGCTTTTCAAGACGTCTGGGTCTGGTTCTGGTTCAACCTTGCGAGGCTGAAGTCGTGGGCATTCGGAGCACTTCCCGTGCTCACATTTCTTGCATGGGGTGTCGTCAGGAGCGCCGCCCGGGAAGATGGTTTTGCACTCATGGCATTCATGGTGTGGGATGGCATTGGGACCGAATTCATCCCCGGGATAGCCGAACGGATATTTGTCTTTCTTGGGTCTGTGGGTACGATTAGCAAAACGAAACTAACCAAGGCAAAAAAGAACAAAAAGAAAAAAAAAAGAAAAAAAAAAGGAATTGAGGGGGGTCGCCGAGAGAAACGGGGAATGACGAACGGATCTCTTGGGCAATCGGTGCAGCGATTATGATTGCACTGGCTGCACTGCTTGCTGCCAGAAGAGAAAAGGGCGCCGCACTCGTGGCAGGTGCGCCTAATCCTTTGCCGCGGCTTCTTGTGAACCAAATCCTGGCCTCCCGTCTTGCTGGGCCGCTTGAGAACGGGGTCGTTCGAGTCCGGGTCGTAGTCGGGCATGATCGGGGCGTTCTCCTTGTTGGCTTTGAGCAGCGCGGCACGGCGCTCGCGGCTGGCGATCTTCTCGGCCTCGGTACGCTTGGGAGGGTAGCGCTTGCACTTAGTCGAGCCGCAGGCAGGGCATTGTTTCGCAGAGGCCCAGTTGGCGTTGCAGGCGGCGCAGGCACGGCGGACGCGCATGCGGATTGGCTTGTCGACACGGAGGGCGGTTCCGTCGGTGGAGTACCATTCGCTCTGCGTGATTTCGAGGCCGTATTTCTCGCCGAGTCTCCTGGCGCGTTCTTCGAATAGTTGCTTCCTCTCAATCCGGCTCACGCCCTCCATGTCTTCGTACTTGCTCGTCTGGGGAGCTTCCGGCGCCGCGGCGGCGGCGGTTTGCTCTGCAGGCGCGCCAGGCTTGGTTTTTCTGCGAAGGGCTCGTCCATTAGCGTGGGCACGGAAGGACGAGAGTGGTCCCATGGAAGTGGTAGGCGCATTTCGTGTGGTCACAGAAATTACAGACTGGGAGCATAAAAAAGAAAAACAGAAGTAGAAGAGGACAGGGCATTCATACCTGATAATATCGGTCCCTGGCGTCGAGGTGGACGGCAGAGCGGACATGCGCTTGGAGCCATCGGCCTTCTTCAAGATGGTCTTGGCCCGGGAAAGTAGCTTGCCCAGTCCCTTCTTCTCCTTGGGAGTCGAAGACTCGGCTGGTGCGGACGAACTCATGTCTGCTGATGCGTAGTCGAGTGTGTCGCTGTCAAGTTAAGATTGGATAGCATGCATTTGAATGCGAAGACCGAGTGGAGTAGTCGAGTCGAGTAGTCGAGCGTCGATGGCGGTGACATGCAAAACGTATGGCGGTACAGCAGGCCGACCAACAGAACAGGTAACTGGACAAGGCGAGCGAGTCGGAGACGGCAATTGTAGAATCCCCTCCAAGAAAAAGACAAAGAAAAAGAAAAAGAAAAAGAAAAGAAAAAAAGCTGGTATTCGTGGATTCGGTGCAGTATCGGTCGAAGGACGCAAAGGCTCGAAGACTATTGTTGTGGCGAATGGCGATTTCTCTCTGGAGGAAAAAGACCCTGATTATTCCCGTCGCACGTTCACAAGCCAACCACTTCTTTCTTAACAGCCTTTTCCTTGATCAGCGTCGAATTGACCGAATGAAGAATATTACCAAGCCGGTTTGAAGAAGGTGCTGTTGTGTGGCCGACGTCGAGTAACTCGAAGTCGCGGTTCTGACCTGTTTTGGTGGCAGTCGACAGGTTCGACAGTCGGGCGAAAAGAGTAAAGAGTACACGGTTGAGAAGAAATGAGACGATGCGAGTACAACGTGGGTTTGCGGAAAGAGGAGAAAGCGAGATGGGAAAGGGTTGCGGGACTGTTCACCCCCCCGTCGATACTGGCACTGGGTTGGCTTCGAAGTTCCAATGGATCCTGGCTTTCTCAGTGGGCACTACGAATGGGAGTCCGTGGCAGGGATCGGGGCAGACCTAAACTGGTTTGACCTGGTGGGACGTAATCCGTAATTACTCCGGAGTCGAGTCCCATCGAGCGGAATCCCAATACAACTCGTACTCCACAGCCAAACAAGGGGCCGGGTCATTTAATGGGAACCAGTGGACGTTCTTATACCCACTACATCTCCATACCGTTTATACACTGTGGCTCCCGAGGCTTCCTAGTGTGGTACCAGCCAGCGGTCAACGGGTCAAACCGTTAATTAACGGTGGGACCAGCAACGGCGCGAATCGCCATCACCTTCCACCGCCACTGACCCAACATTGTGTAAGGTATTCTGGTCACGGATAATCACTCCACTCCCCGAATTTCACGGTTCATACCCTGATTCTTCAGACAAGTCATGCAACGAAACCCGGATACGGGGTCCATTGTTGAAGACGGATTGACTGGTAAGTAACTGGCTGACTGGCAAGATCCGGGGTCTGAATGTGAAGCATCATGAGAATCTGACCATCTCAAATATGAGACCCGAAGGTAAGGTACCAAGTTGTGTTGGTACGTATCTCGTAGCCCGCCTACGTTGTAAGGTACGCGAAGCGAACCTGGAAGCAAAGCCAGACCCGGCACAGTGAAATAGGCTCCTGTACGGAGTACTCCGTACTCCATATGGATAGTACATTCAGAATCCTTCGTGCGACTGGTCTCTTTCGGCCCAAGGAAGAGGACCGTCCCCGCATAAGGAGTACCTTACAGTGCGGGAGCATCCAAGGTTCGAGAAGTTCACTTCCACGGCCCACGATGCTGGTCCGACACTATAAGTGGACGAGTGGACAGTACGGATGGATACCGTACGTACAGTAAACTAAAGTGCTCCACCTACCTACCTACCTTAGGTAAGGTATCTAAGGTAGGTATGAATGAGCACTGACCTACATAGGTAAACACATTGCCCGGTCCTCCGATCCCCCGGTCCGGTGTTCGAAGTATGCACGAAGTACGAAGTACCTACCTACCATACTCGGCACGCTTACATAGACCTCTTTTAGTTTAGTGACACAACACGTTGTCGTGCTGTTATTGGTGTGATTCGTGTGGTTCGTACTATTCATACAGTCTAACCCCTGTTTAATTGTGTGTGGTGTACTTGCGGATCCGAATAAACCAATAGTAGAGCGAGAAAGAGTATAGCTAGATACTTCCCGTGCAGTGACTTTAATATACTAAATACCAGGTTTCTATGTACTTCTTTGTATCTAATTCAACCGACTTATAGCTCCCTAAGAAATAGAAGTTGATATCTAGTATCCCTATAGAAACTACCTTTTATATAGCGCGTATAAGTATAAAATAAATTATTCTATATATAAAATAGTTATAGATAGATTCTAGATTAACCTAGAGATATCTTATAATAGTATTAGACCTTTTTATATTATAGGTGCTATTAGCGCAGGTATAATTCTAGGAGCTTCGTAGTTAATATGCCCTGACTAGGCATATATCTGGCTAGCTAGTATTCTTAGACCTAGGAGCCAGGCTTTTCTAAAGGGGTGACCTTGGGGTGCCGTAAAGGGTGGTAAAATAAGATGTCTTCTCTAAGCTAGACGGGAGCGCGCCCCTAGGACCTAATATACCCACGGGTAAACCCCGTAGGATCCTCGGTATCTACGTATATAATCCTCCGGGTGCCCCAGGGTATCCCGCGGACTTTATAGTATATACCGGAGGTATCCACGGTATACCCTATAGATATTATAGTGTATACCACGGTACCTCTAAGGTACGCCTATAGTATACCGAGGTATACCCGGAGGTATCCTAGGGCGTATTAATTACCCCGGGCGAGGAAGCCCTATATCCCGTGGGCTTCCTTTATAACTACGATAGCCTCGCTAAAAGCGCGTCACGGTTATACTAGTAAACTATAATATAGTTAGGAAATAATAGAAGGAAAAGGTAATCTTCGGCAGCGCCCTAATAGTAGCCGCTATCGTTACTACCTAATATAATATACCGGTCCCTAGGTATAATAGGAAACACGGTATAAGAGAATAGAATTTACCGGGTATATCCTGGCTAGAAAGTAAAAACGAAGAGAAAAAAATAAAAAGGATAGACCTAATACTAAACCTCGTATTATACTATATTATAGCGTGCTATAGTAGAATCTAAACTTCTCTTTCGCTTAGTTAGCCTAGCCGTATAGTTAGTTAATTATAGTAATCTCCTCCTCCACGATAGCGGGGGCTTCATTTTATCGGTAGACCCTATTCCTTTACTAGCGTGAATAGCGTTATGGCCGTTTCCTTTATAGTGATATCGGCTATTTATACGTTTACCGCGGTATAGTCGTGGATATAGGCCTTATTTAGTCTATATAGCTCGCGGTCGGCCTATAGATGCTTTAGGGCTATATAATACTAGATAGTAGTAATAGTATTCTCATAGTCCGATACGATTCTATTTACTAAGGCGTTTTAGCGGGTATCGGTAAGTTCTCTATCGATATACGGCCTATACGCTATATCGTTAAAAGCTATAATAGGGTTATAGCGTTCTATATATTATCCTTCGCGAGCCCCTCTAAGATAATTATAGCGACGAACTTTACGGCTAGGATTAGGAGTACGATAGCGTGCTCGCGCTATTTAAGGATAATTATACGCTACTTACCCGAGGTAGCCGTCTCCTAAATAAGCTAGAGACCGGGGATTCGTAGCCGGCTAGCGAAGTTCTTAACGATATCTTATAAGGCTTAGTTAGCGGCGGTATCCCCTATAATTCTCTTAGCGGGAGGCTTAGCTACTATATCCTAAGGCGCGGCGTGTTTAGTTAGCGGCGTTAGGGCTAGTTTTTCTCCGATATAGAGTATAGCTAAGAAGTCCTTAACCGAGAGTATAGTAAGTGCTATCTCTTTTCCCTTTATAGTAAGAATACCGTATAAGTACTTACGGATAAGCTTATTAGTAATATTAGCTTATTAGGCGTAGTCCTTAAGGTATACCTTTAGCTAAGGGTATAACTTATCTATATCCTTCTCGGATAGGACTATATCGTATATTACCTTAGAAAGGTATATATAGTCTTAGATATACTAGAGTATAAACCCGGGAACTATAGGATTTACTAACTTTATAAGTATCTTAGGCTATATAGTAATAATAGATAACGGTCCCGCTATAGATTCTATAAGACTAGCCTCGGCCTCTAAGTCGATATACGCGGTAGACTAAGGAGCTAAGCTAATATTAGGGGACTCGAAATTAACCGTGCAGTTAGATTAGGGTATTTTTATAAATTTCCCCGCGTAGTTACGGGGTATATTAGCATTATAGACTATTTCTAAGTAATCCTTATATAGAACTTATAGTTATTCCTAAGATACTAACTTAGCGTTAGTGTTTAATAGGTAATCCGGCTAGGGAAATTATCGTATTAGGTCTTTAGCTTTTTACTACGTGATCTCGCTATTTACCTTAGGATACTCCGCGGGCACGAAGACTATATAGTCTAACTCTTATATCTCCGGGTTTAGGTAACCTTATACCTTAGTATATAGGCGGAACTTATATAATTTACTCTTATAGGACTATTTCTACTCCGTAAAGCGCTTGCCGAGGGCGTTAAGCTTATATTCTAACCGCTTCTCTCCGCTATAAAGCGTAACGGCGCGGTAATACCCGTCTTTAGTAAAGCTAGCGCCCGGCTTTTTAGGATTTCTAAACGCTTACTCGAAGAGGTCTTAGTAGTCTTAGTCCTTAGATAGCTAACAGGAGCTTAGCGCTTATACCGCGAAGTATATAGGTAATAAGGTGCTCCTAAAATATCGGGGCGGTATAGAGGAGATAAGAGGTAATAGTTTACGTAATATAAATAGAATAAATAAAAAGGTATATATTACTAAATAATAAAAAGCGAGATAGGGGAATAGTAAGTATTAGTAAACCACGTTAACGATACTAGTAATTAAGGTTATAGTAGTAAAGAAGAGAGGAGAGAAGCGAAGAGGGAAGAAAAAAAACTCGAATATTATAGATATAGTATTATTTCTTCTACTACCTAGCCGAATACCGTGGTAACCGTGGTTATTATAGTAGTTAATAGAAGGTATATATAGGTCGTAAGCCTATTCCTGCTATATATTTAGGATTACTCGGGGTAGCTGTAATATTCTTATATCGTGTCCCCAGCGTATCTTAAGATACCTCGGTAACCCTCGGTTTATGCCGTATTTCCTTTAGTTCTTTAACGTCGCCTAGTTA